AAAAAAAAAAAAAAAAAGAGAAGACAGGAAGAGCGAGAGCAGTCGTCTGTGGGTGGAAGACGCTCGAGACAGTATTTATCGTGGCCAAAGTAATGAGCCACTCGGAGTATTAATAACCTGACCGCGGTGTAACGCTAGAGGTTTAGAATAAACGCTGGAACGCGGTGCAATTAGAGGTCTGCGAGCATCTTCCGGTTATCTGATCGTGATATCTTCTTTCTAAAATATTTTGCTGTTCATCGCGTTAATTATAATTTAAGGCATGTTGTCCATTGTTTTATTTGAAATGTCATCGTAGCCAACGTCGGTAGAACTTTCGGCCTATCACGATTTTTGTCTAGAAACAAACTTGTTTTGTTTAAAAAACGAAACATAACGTGCAATTGAACGAATCGGTTTTCTCGCGGCCGAGCTTGACTCTGTAAACGCTAGAACCTCATTTAAGTTCCACGAATGGCTAATCTATGTGTCCTATAAACGCAATGCGGCCTCTACGTTATAAAAACCTAGCATTTATCATCGAGAGCGATTCAGAGATATTGACCCTTGCTAGAACCGCTCATAGAATATCTTCCCCGACGAATGCCGTCATCCTCAATGATTCCATCGAGACTCAGTCAATTGTCGGTCCTGATAGACTCTAAAGTAACATTCAGTTTTCTCCGTTTGCCAAGAAACGAGCGTAAGCACCTGCTCTTTCGTTCGAATCAACTTTCAAATGATCATCAGGACCATTAACGTCGTAAGACAAGAACACCACGTTGAATACCGCCAACGTGCAAATCTGTGAAGTCGTGGCACGTCTCTGATAGTTTCTTCAGTCTGTTGCATTTGGGTTTGTATAGGAAAACCCACGGAAGACGCCCTGGTCCATGGAGGTGAGGATCTGTTCAGGTACAGGAGTCAGTCGTGGTCTTTCAGCAGTGAATGCTGTGTCAAAGTACTTCGTATCTAAAGTATGCTCCAGGGCTGGCTTGAAAGGTGGTTCCAGTTGCCTCCTTTCTAATCTATCCCATGGCAATTGCTAGAGAAATGAACATATTAATTGTTTTATGAATTTCACAGTTCATATGAGAAGTTTCAATTACACAGAATGGTCTTCGTCTGTGTTGGCGAATGGAGACCAGTCCGTAAATTGATTCTACAAGATTAATTACGTGGAAGAAAGAGTGCAGCGCAATTTCGTGACCAGGAAGCCTTTTCCCAGAGTCTTTTTCCAGAAGGGCGACCAATATGTCGCTGGAATCTTGGCTCAGGTAACGAGGTATAAACGGTCTTTCGTTGCATATACTCCAAAATAGCTCATCCTCGTCGCAGCCGGAGAATGGCGACTGTCCCGTGAGCATCTCGTACAGAAGCACGCCGTACGACCACCAGTCCACCGCCTGATTGTATTTCAGTCCCTTTATGATCTGCAATGCGGAAACAGTCAGTTGGTTAACTCAAAGAGACCAACGAATCGCGGCTCTTTCAGCGTCGCTTTTAGTGTCTTAATTTTGGAACTTGGATTCCTTCGACAGCCAATAATTCCAATTAAATTAAATAGCTCGCTCATGCTATTTGATAAGAGAAAAATGATCCTATTACACAAAGAATATTTTCTATTTTTGTTTGTGATCTTCTTTTACCTCGGGAGCCATGTAATCAGGCGTTCCACAGAAGGTGTCGGCGGTTCTGTCGAGAAAAATTTGCAGCTTGCACATGCCAAAATCAGCTATCCTAATATGCCCGTCGAAATCAAGCAGCACATTGTCTAATTTCAAGTCTCTGTACACTATTCCTTTCTTGTGCAAGAAATTTAAGCCAGACCAAATCTCAGCTGCGTAGAATCGAGCTCTCGGTTCTGGGAAACGACCCGACTTTTGAATATGAAACATCAAGTCGCCGCCGTTCAGGTATTCCATTACGAAGAACAAATGGGAGTCTGTCTGAAAGGTGCAAAACAGGTGACAGAGGTATGGGTGCCTCGTAGCTAGAGTCAGGACTTTCCTTTCGATTAAGGTACATTCTACGTCGTCGTCTTCAAGAACTACGTCCTTCTTCAGGCACTTTACTGCGTATACGCACTCAGTGCCTCGGAGTTCGGCTAACAACACCTTGCCAAAACTGCCTTTTCCTAGGACCTAAGGAAAAATAACAAACGTTATAACTTCCGCTCTTGTTTTTAAGAAAACCAATTTTAGGAATTTTGAGATTTATATTTTCAAATGTTTTAGGTCCCAAAATTCGTTGATCAACGTATCGTATTATTGGAGAGGATCAAACTTGGGATTAGATATGGAAGAAATATCCACCGGGAGTAATTCTTATGAAACGACTGTAGTCGTCAAAAGTGAGGCAAGGTTCTGTTACCAGGTGGAAATCCAGGTCTGATAGAGTGAAAATGGCACACGGTGGAAAGTTCACGCGTCTAAAGCTAGAATGTCGCACGTGAGAGTGCCTCGGACTCGTTAAAAATAATTCGTTGCGTGCAGCTAATTTAGGTGAGTCTATTTGCGTGAGGTCCTTCGCAAAATTAAATTCGTTTTAAACTTTCTTCTCTGTAAATTTACTCACTGATAAGTCGCCTGACTATAAAACCCTATTATCTTTCAATACAGATATTTCAAGATATTAAACTATCTGATGCCTAAAATTTATGCACAAGAAACTCTTCACTGCCGAGGAGATTCGAAGCTTTTTAACATCGTGATCGCGTTAGATCGGGCGTAGATTAGGAGGTCGAAGGTTCGTCGCACCTCCCAGTTTGGATCACTTCGCAGGGACACCTTGTGAATCGATCAAGTTGGGTTCACGTGTTACAGGTATACACGTGATACCGATTGGCTTTCATCCTGGTGAGCCAAGGGAGCTGATATATTTTATGCAAAGCAGGTATATCTACGAATATGTAGAAGAAACCTGTATCAAGTCAATTCATTGAGCAGAAAATCTAAAATCCTCTAAAATTTCTCTTGTTTAAACTATCTCAATTTTCTAATAACAAAGATATAAATGCTTCCTCTTCCAAAATTCCATAAAGTTATTTAGAAACTAAACAACTCTTGTTATTTCAGATTTATGTAGAGAACCCTGAAAGTGAAACTGACGCAAGTTTTTGATAGAAGAAAGATAATCCGTCGTAGACGAAGCTTTCCATCATCTCGAAGTGAATAATTTGGGCGTTTCGTCAGCCGGGACCTTGGCAGAGGCCCGAGAGTTGCACGCGCCACGGTAAACACGACGATCGTGGCTAAAATCTGTTAACGACCGTTTATAATGATGAACCGCCTTGGGCAGCAAACTCACTTTTAGGAAATTGAAATCCGTCACGGTGTACTTCTTGAACCTTGGAAGATTGGTGGCCGGTGGCGTAATCCTTCCACTGGGGAAATGGTCTGAAGAGTCTGAATTCCTCTGGTTGTCCGACGACTGCGAAGGTGCTGTGAAATTAAAATAGAAATAATATATCAATCGATCTACCGATTGGGGCAATTTATAAATGTCATGGTTAGTCTTATTTTCGCATCCATAAGGCAAACGACATTGAAATACTTGCAGTGCATCTCTTTTTAAAGTCTCAGGTCGTAAAAATTGCCTGTTTCGGATCTTAAAGATACTTACTAACGAGTAAAGAGGAACAAGTAACTATTGGACAAGATTTGTAGAAAGAGAACGATCGTATTAGATTCTCTTCCGGGATCTTCCCGGGCCAAAGAACGTCTGGTTGCTCGAATATTCGTCAAATTTTGATTAATAAGCGAATTAATTATCGATCTGGCTTTGGCATATGAGCACGCTGTATGTTGGCCGACTAGCATTTCCCAAAAATAGAACTGACCGTTTTATGACGCGAACGGGACACGAGGAACACAACATAAATGATCGATTAAGGGACAGCTAGGAAGATTATAATAGATATAAGCACTAGTGACCGATTTAACCACGATATAATTTCATATTGCCGGAATTACGGTATCGTCTACCAAACTATTTTCTAGTTAGAATGAATGGATTTATGACAGCCACGTGGAATTGCGGCAAAGTCATAGATGAATACGCTTCTTGGACCAGCCAAGTCTGACTGCACGGCCAATGCTTAAGATCAGATATGAAAAAAGTGAGAAATATGCTTTCGAGGGTATCAAACATTGAAAAATCTTAGTTACTCCTTTGATCCCTACTTTTAGCAGGTTGGAATAAGTAACTCACCTTTCTTGAGCGCCTGCAAGGCTTCTGCCACGAGTTTTTGGTTCAATCCACAGAGATTTCCAGTCAGTTTCTCACACTTTTTGTGACAGGCCATATCACAATCTATTTTTAAAGGTTCTGCGTCTTATTTGTTTGATTTTATAACAAATACCTTTGATGCACCTTGTTTGTACGAAAAAAGCTATTTTAACGCGAGAACAACGGTCTCTCGCGGTTCTTTATCTACTGATACCCAGTAA